TAGATTTACATGTGTTTCGTCAGTAGTTATTGCAATAAACAGTGAAAGAGCACATGCTAATCTATATATTTGTGATGAATTTTATTTCAAGAAAAGTTATATTAAGACAAAAGAAAATTTAAAGAAAGTTGCAGCTAGAAAGTGATTCTATTATGTTTGACAGTACTAGAAACGGTGGTGTTTATTTTCAAGTAGTATCAGAAACGAAGAAAACTTTTACCAATGCATCGACTATCTGTTCGATTATTTTGCTGTGCTTTAAATATGTATATATTTTGATTATATAGCTCTGAGACTGTTAGAAACTATAATAGTCTTGACAAAAGATATCGATTGTTTTCTTTACATTAAAAGAAAGCATTTTTGTGATCTTTATCTCAGTCAATTTTATAATATTTTTATGATATGTAGGCAAGGGAGGAAAAACTGACTTTTTGATTTAAATCAAAAATGAAAATCAAAAACATCAGACAAATCAATGAAAATGGTAAAATTTTTAATCTTTGTGCTTGAAAATATCAATCGAGAGTGAAACAGTTGAAATCTGACTGTTTTTTTGCTTCTTTGGATTTTTCCGATTTTTTAAATTTTTCTGATTTTTTTGATTTTTCTTATTTTCTTCGTTTAAAATCAGTTGGTTTTAAATTAGAAAAATCAAGAGAAAAATAAAAAAAGTCAACAAAAATAATCTGATTTCACCTGTTTCCTCCTTGCATGTAACTGTGAAATAGTTGAAGGTTAACTGAACATAAATTATTTCTTTTTGTCTTTGTATAAAATATTGCCATACTACTGTTTTTCATAACAAAGCTGTATTTTTATTTAGGTGAGTCGAGGTACGTTATAAGAACATCACCTACCATTCTGCAGTAGTGATTTTTACATGTCTAGTTGTTTTTAAACGAAATATTAGCGTCCTATATATTTCCTATATATCCGAGGACGATCCCATATATTTGAGATCTAACAATTCCTATATATTCCTATATATTTTTGAGGGGCTGCTGCGAACCCAGAGTACAACATATTGATACCTATCAAAATCAAAACATCTTGCTGACAAATCTCTTGTCACTTCTGTCAAAACTTGGAGAATATCTCAATAGTAGTATATCGTTATATTAAAGAAAAGATCGACAACAATAAGAGCTTTTCTACTAATGCTGTTATTATCATATATCATAGAATATTACGTTGTTGTTATCAATACTTGTCCTAGATATGATTAACCTATTGACTTTGATATTATCTCTCATTTAATTTGATATTGTCAGCTGAGAATGAGATTAAGATTGAGCTATTTTCAAAGCAAATTGAATTAAAGATCGACACATTGTCTATAGAAGACGTAGACAAAATCTACTTATTGTTAATACAATTTTGACCTGTTCGACGTAGGCCAAAACAAACTAAGAATTCACTATACACTACTGAATCAGACATGATCAATTTGTCAGATATCGATTTTAGTAATAGATGGGACATTAATCTCTGCATGTGTTAATGAACGGTCAATGGGTACATCCAGATTTAACACTCGTATTGAACAACATCAATCTTTTTGTTTCTTTATCTATGCACCATGGATCTTCGTTTTTTCATCTTCTCTATTGACAAACCAAAGACTTGGATTTCGATCGCAATCAATATTTCAATAGAAAGAAGATAGGAAAAGATAGGATTCTATCACAATCAAATATATTTTGTATAAATAAAGTGTATTTCGATGTCGAGCTATCATCAAAACATTCATGCAATCAAAATTTATATTTTGAATTAAAATCACAGTTTTCGACAACTATTCAATATATAGATTCAAAAATAAGGCTGTATGATGAAAAACATTCTATATTATCGGAATGTAATAGATATTCTTCAAACTATACAACATAGGTGGTTCTCTATCACGCATGTGAGTTATCTGTCTAATGGGACCTCTTTCGAACGACTTGGCATTTAATCATCATGGATCAGTATTCGTTTATTTTTCATCACAATTTGTTTCTGATCTGAATATAGTTCGTCTCAATAAGACAGGATATATTGATATCCATATTAAATGTCAATGTAGTAACGATATGAAGATTATACCTTGAGGAATGATATCGATTCTGCTGCAAGGAGAAAAAAAATTCGTGAATCATTCGCTTAAAAAAAAATTTAAATCCACATCATATGAAAGAATTTGAAGTCGAAATCTCACTCGATGAGCTTGAAAAGTCGTTGATATTGAAGTTAGCAAACATGTACCAGGAGTTTAGCAATGGTGTTTTTCGAATGACAATATTGAGCAATGAATTATAAATAAAAAAATATATAGAGCAATAAAACTGAACCAGACGACTTTAAAAGAATTCAGAAGTAATTCATGAATTTTTTTAAAATTTCTGTAGCTCTATTTTCAGTATGATAGTCCATCTTTGAAGATATTAGTGTGTGTCTATTCGTTTGAACATGTGTAAATGAATGGGATGATCATTGATTAGTAAAAATATAGTCTTCATTCTTACAGGCACCTATCACATGGATCCATCTTTATCCAGATCCAAATCTCGTCAATTATTTCTTCAAACGTGTTCAGTTCAAATTAAGAATTATAACAGTAAATAATGATTCAATTCGTTTGCCTTATTTTTTTGTTATCTGTATGAATTAGTAAATAGCAAAGAAATAATATGTTAATCATGGTGAAAGAGCACAATAGAAGTAGTATTAATCTTTAAAATAGATGTAAATGATTGTTCTATGTTATTTTGAAATAAATCTTCTGCGTAAAAATTCGAACATATTTAAGAATATTATTATGCAAAATAAAACCAGACACAGAATATTTTATCCCAAAATAAATAATTGTTTTTTTAACATTGAAAAACTTCTTCTTAGCGAATCTGCTAATCTTAGTTGAGATTTTGACAATATTTAACTATTCATGAAATAAGAAATAGATTTGCTTGTTGTTATATAAAGTAAGTCATTTCTATTTATTATTTATACAAGAGGAAATTAGTATGTTAAATAGAAAATAATTATTGAAATAAACAAATAATATTCTTTTTCATGTCTACATAGTAGCTTTTTATCGTAACTATAAGTTTATTATGTAAACGATCGATCGAATGTTCGAGAGCAAAAAAAGAAAGAAATAAGAACGAATAAACTACATAGATGTCTCTTTATATTGTATAGGGAGACTTGATTTATTTGTCGTCTCTTATCTCATCTGACAAACATTATTCGCGTAACATACAAAAAAAAAAAAATAAACGAAGAGAACGAGATTTTTTTTTTTGACATTGTTTTTTTTATAGCAAATAAGGAAAATTGGTAGTACGTTATTGAAAATAAAAAAATGACGACAAAAAAAATTCTATTTGTATTAACATCTCATGATAAACTTCTAAATGGTCATCCAACAGGATGGTATTTACCAGAAGTATGTTAAACATAATTTAATTAATATAATAACTAAAATAATATTATGTATATAGGCTGCTCATCCATATTATGTATTAGAAGATCATTTTACAATTGAATGGGCAAGTCCAAAAGGAGGAAAAGCTCCATTAGATCCATCATCTTTAGAACAGTTTAACGATGATGTTGAATGTAAAAAATTTTTATCTGATAACAAAGCTAAACAAGGTTATGAAAATACAAAAAAATTAAATGAAATAAATGCTAATGATTATCTAGCTTTAATTTATGTTGGTGGTCATGGACCTTGTTTTGATTTAGCTGAAGATAAAACAAATATTCAATTAGCTGAACAATTTTGGAAACAAGGAAAAATTCTTTCGGCTGTTTGTCATGGACCTGCTGCTTTAGGTTAAGGAAATTATTTAACAAAAAACAAAAAAAAAGAAATAATTTTCTTTTTTTAGTTAATGTAAAAGATGAAAATGGTAAATCAATATTTTTTGGACGAAAAGCAACATCATTTAGTAATGAAGAAGAAGAACAAGTTAAATTAACAAATGCTATTCCTTTTCTTGTTGAGACACGTATTAAACAACTTGGAGCTCATTATGAAAAAAATGATAAACCATGGGGACCTCATGTCACTGTTGATGGACAACGTTTGTTTTACTTCTTTTTTTTTGTATTTTTAGGATTTTCAATATTTTTATTTTTTTTTTTTAGTTATTCTTGGCGCAAATCCAGCATCTGCTCATGATTTTGGTTTGGCTATACTTAATGCTATCAACAAGAAATAAATTTATTCGAATTTAAACACTTTAAGTTATAGTCATTTTAGTTTCTATTTAAAAAAAAAACAGGACTTCTTTTTATCATTTACAAAAACAAGCATTCGAACTATATTGTTTTTTTTATTTTTCTATATCAATATTAGTAGTAATGAGACGTCATTTGAATATAATATATCATCAAATATATTCTCCATATGATCACAGAAAATGGTTCATTTTATAATAAAGTTCGATTCTTATTGACATAATATATTTTCATTAATTTACTGTTTCACCTATACGATATTTTCGATAGATGATTAACTGAGAATATGACTAAATTTTTATACGTATATTTGAATGGATGATACATATTATATTCAATCAATCATTTTACTATTTAGACGTCGAATAAATAGTTTAATTGGTTTTTTTTTCCTACAAAAATCTATTCTTATTCTTATTCGACTATGTAATTACGAAATTTTTTTGCAAGTATTATTTTTAAATCGAAAGATTTCATTTTATGATACCAATTTGATTTATAGTCATTGAAATAATCATAAAAAGTCAACCTTAGTCTAAATAAGTTGTATTTATGATGACAATTAATAAAAACAATTTGATTCAATTCGGAGACATATTAAATAAATTGTTTCGATCATATTACATGAATCATATCGTTAAGATAATATTCGAAAAACAAAAGAAAAAATTTTATTGAAAAAACTTCGAAAGTAAATAATTGAAATATTTCTAAATGCGAGAAAAACAACAAGTCTTTTTGACTAAACTTGTAAAAAGAGATAAAACTTAATAATAAGTTTCTCTTTCAATCCAACCACCTGGATTTTTTCGAATCATATATTTTCGAACTTCATCATAAATCAAAATTAAGAAAAAATACGGTATTGGTACAAGCCACCAAAGAAATCTAAACAAATATATTATAATTTACAAATTAAATTAAATCTTGATTTATTATTACTTAAGTGGATATGTATTAAGAGCTGTATCTAAGTATGGAGTATAAGATATAATTGCAGCTAAAACAGTTTCAAACACTAAACCAAAATTTAACATCCAATTACTAAAATAAATATAATTATCATTGAAGTTTTTTTTTTTTTGTTATTATTTCTTATGTTAAAAAAGAATAAATGACTAACTTCATTCCTTGTTGAAAAATTGAATTTCTTCGTGTTTTACAAACAATTAATACAGCCCATTGACAAATAACAATAGTAACAAAAAAAGCTGTATGACATGTATATTCAAGTTGTTTTCGTTGTTCAAATGTCTAAAGAAAAAAAGAATAAACAAGAAAAAATTTTTTGACAATAAATGAAACCCATTCTTGTCCATATGAATCTTCTAAATCATTTATTTCAGGTGATTCCCATGATTTTCTAAGACCCAAAAGACGTGATGGTAAAAATCCATTTTCTGCCATTATAACAAGATAGGAAAAAAATCCAGCACCTGCTTGAATCAATCCTATTTGTCCATAAGCCATTGATATAAGACTAAAGAAAATAAATAAATAAATAATTTTTTTTTCTTCTGTTTAAATCGAAATTACCGTTGATTAACAAGTCGATCATGTTTTGGATCTCTTGGTCGTCTTTTCATAATATCAGTTTCACCCTTTTCATAAGCTAATGATATAGCTGGAATCATATCTGTACCCAAATCAATACATAATATTGTTATTGTTCCTAATGCTAATGGAGTATCAGTTGTTAAATAAATTAAAAATGGAGTTATTTCAGGAATATTTGATGTTAATGTATATGCAATTGATTTTTTTAAATTATCAAATATTAAACGACCTTCTTCAACACCAGTTACTATTGAAGCAAAATTATCATCTAATAATATCATATCAGCTGCTTGTTTGCTCACATCAGAACCAGCAATACCTTTAATAAATGATATAATTATAATGAAAAAGAAAGTAGAATGAAATGAAACCCATAGCTACTCCAATATCTGCTTTTTTCAATGCCGGTGAATCATTAACACCATCTCCAGTGACTGCAACAATCGCACCTTGTCTTTGACATCCTAATTAATATAAAAATAAATTCTTTTTCTTCTTTTTTTTTAAAAATTCTAATCAAAAAAACAAATCTAACCTTCAACAATAATAAGTTTTTGTTGTGGTGATGTTCTTGCAAAAACAATTTCCGAATGATTTTTTAAAAGATGATCTAATTGTGATGATGTCATATGTTTTAAATCATCTCCATGAACAACACAAGCTTTCGCATCACGTGAATTAACATGTTCAATAGGTACATTTAATCTTTGAGATATATCTTCAACTGTTTCGGATTCTTCAGATATTATTCCAACAGCTCGTGCAATAGCTTTTGCTGTTATTGGATGATCACCTGTTATCATAATTACTTTTATTCCAGCTGAACGACATTTTGAAACACTAATTAGAAATAATAAATAAATATATTTATTTAAATAATATTATTCAAATGAAAAAAAGAAAACGAAAACAAACGCTTCTGGAACAGCTGCTCTTGGTGGATCAATCATTGACATAAGACCAAGAAAACGAAGATTTTCAAGTGGAAAATTCATTTTTTCCGCATCAAATTGATAACCTTTTGGATATTTATTTGTTGGTAAACGTAAATCACAAAAACCTATAACACGTTCACCTAAACTTCCTAATTCTGTATTTGCTATTTGAAATTCATTTCGCCAAACTAATTTAAAAAGAAAACAAATAAAATAAATACGATAATAAAATCTTACAATTATTCATTCGAATATCTTGTCCATCAATAAAAATAGTTGAACATTTTTCAAGAATTGTTTCTGGTGCACCTTTCATAACTAATAAATAATAAAGACGAAGATTATTTGGATCATTTCTACTACGCATTTCATGTATTGATAATTGATATTTATTTGTTGGATTAAATGGAATTTCTAATACTTTACGATTTGATTCACGATAATTAATTACATTACCTATCTATACAATCAATATTAAATAAATAATTATTATTTATTTATTTATTTATTTATTTACTGATAATTCAACACATTTAAGTAAAGCTGATTCGGATGCATCTCCAGTACATTCACGTTGTAAAACTGGTTTTGATAAATTTTCTGGATCTTGTTTAAAATCAGCTCTATTACATAACATTGCACAACGAGATAAGGCTAACCAACTAGTAGAATTTCTATCATATGTTGCATCTTAAATTTAAAAAAAATAATAAATCAAAATGAAAAAATAAAAAATGACAAGAAGACTAACTTTGTTGATGTTCACTTGTATCAGCTTCAACAATTCTTGTGTCAAACCACATATGTGCAACAGTCATTCGATTTTGTGTTAATGTTCCTGTTTTATCCGAACAAATAGTTGATGTTGATCCAAGTGTTTCGACAGCTTCTAAATTTTTAATTAAACAATTTTTTTTTGCCATTCGTTTAGCTGTTAATGCAAGACATGCCTTTTTTAAAAAAAACACAAGAAAAATATGAAAATTTTTGTTTTAAATAATAATAAATAACTTACAGTAACAGTAGCTAAAAGTCCTTCAGGTACATTAGCAACAATAATTCCAATAAGAAAGATAACAGCATCAATTATTGAATATCCAAGAATAATTCCAATTATAAAAAATGAAATACCAAGAAATATAGCAACACCAGTTATTATATGAGTAAAATGAGCTATTTCTTTTGATATTGGAGTTTCACTTGTTGATAAACCCGATGCTAAATTGGCTATTCTACCCATAGCTGAACGATCACCTGTACGAATAACAATACCTTTAGCTGTACCTATGAATAAATTTGTTTTTTTTTTGTTTTTAATTATAAACAAATAAATTATTAAATATTTCAAATAAAACAAACCTTCAACAGCAAATGTACTTAAAAAAGCTAAATTTTTTGTTTCTAATGGATTTTCATGTGTCATATCCTTTATACGAATTTGTGGTTCAGATTCTCCAGTTAATGAAGAATTATCAACTTTAAATCCATTAGCTTCTAATATTCTTATATCCGCTATTTAATAGAAATATTTAAAAAAAAACAAAAGAAAGAAACTAAACAAAAATATGAAACAAACCAGGTACTCTATCACCAAATTTAATATCAATTATATCGCCAACAACTAATTCTTCTGATCTAACACTTTTTCTTTCTCCATTTCGAATAACAATTGCTTGCTAATATTAATTATATAAACATAAGTGTTAATTGTTAAACAATACTTACTTGTGGAACTCTGGAAGAAATAAATAAATCTTTATTTATTTTAATTAAAACTTCTCTTACAGATTTTTGAATGAATCCATTATTCTTGAACTTTTTGCTTCTTGATAATAAGAAAAACAACCTGTTATTACAACAACAACAGTTAATGCAAAACCAAGCCATAACTAAATCAATTTAGTTTTTATTTTTAAAATTAAACTAAAAAATTATTATATTAATACAAACATTATCATTAGGTGCTTCATCATGATGTGTAGCTACTGTTATACCATGTGCAATAAAACAGAGTACTGCACCAATCCAAAGAAGAAAAGCAAAACCACCAAACATTTGTTTACAAAATTTCATCCATTCGGGTATGGTTTTTGATGGAGTTAACGCATTTGGACCATCACGATTAAAAACTTCTCTCACTTTACTTTCTGTTAAACCCTAAGAATTCATTAATACAATCATTTCATATAAATTAAACATTTTTTTTTTAATATATCTTACCATTTTAGGATCGGTATCATATCGTTGAAGAAGTTCTTCCATATTCAATCGATGATCATCCTAAATTAAAGTTATATAAACATATTGCAAAAAACAAACTCTTAAACATCCACAATGTATCGAACATGTTAATTCAATTTGTTTTTTATCAATATATCAACGAACATCGAAAAACAACTTATCAAATAATATTTATTCGGAAAATAATCAAGTCTAAAACTGATGCAATAAAACAAACATATAATCTTATAGATCTCTCATCACGAAATTATCTTTCATATTCAGATTCTATCATTTATTTATTTATCCTTTTGACTTTTGTTTTTAATTGATTACTTGTTCATTATTCTCAACGATCAACAATATGTCGAGAGAGATCAATCGTATAATAGAATTACTAATTAGTGGTTCTATTGTGAACAAAGTGACTCGAAATGATTCAATATGATCATTTTATATTCAAAAAATGCAAGAAAAAAAGAACGACGAGATATACTATATTAAAAAAAGCTTATTTAATATTATCTTAAAAAGAAAATCAAATATCATCTTCAATTCGTTTCATAGTCAAATTTATTTTAAATTCTATTGTAAATAGGACATATATAGAACATTTTCGGTAAGTTTTTAAGTAGTCTAAATGAAAAATTCTCATAAATCTGAAAATAATTCTTTCATATCGAACAAAAGTCGCTCGACAAATGTTAATCATCATATTCTCAGTGTATTTAAACTAAATATAGATTCCACATAGTTTATTTTTCCTATCTCAATTTCAATTTAGATAGACTGTTGATTTTGATTTCATTTTTAATAATTTATATATATAAATTTCTTTGTCAAACTAATCAGTCAGCTCTCGTTTCATAAATGTCGATAACTTAAATTTAATCATAAAAAGAATAATTTGTATTTTAATGTTCATCTGTCGAATTATTTTATATGAAATATGCTCAATAAAACTTTGATAAATTTTGAAATAAAAATTCGACAAGAAATATGAAAATTGATTTATTTAAGTGTTAATAAAATATAGTAGATAATAAATCTATATAGATATTCGTATATATATTATCAAGATAAAAGATAAATATAATATGTATAGAAGACTAAAAATGTATTTACTTACAATATTTAATTCTTTTTTAAGATCATCCATATAAACTTGTTTCTGATCTGTTTTGACTTTCTTTTTTTTTGTTGTTTTTGTTGTATGATTTCCATCATTAAGATTTGTTAGTGGTTGTCCTTCATCACCTTGTGATTTCTATTATGATTAAAAATAATAAACTATAAATAAAATATTGAAATAATTATATATCATACCATGATTAAATAGTTCTATGAGTAATTTAAATGTAATATATATATGTTTATATAAGTACTCCCGTGTAAATATTAAACCGATGCGTCAAAAAAAGAAAATAAATGGTCACGTTTACCTTTCTGAATTCATCATTTTTTACTCGAGAATATTTCACGGCTGAGTAGTCAGCATATTTATACATTATTTTACAAAAGATAAAACCATGTGAACATATGCTATACTAAATATGGCCAGTCTTTTGCCGTTCTGTATTGTTTTTTTACAGGTAGACATTCATGTTATATATATATATTGACATGATTAATATCGATTTTTTTTTTCTTCTGATCGAATATTTTCTATATATTAAAAATATAGAATTTAATTTTTATATAAATAGAAAAGAATTTATTAATTGAAATTAGAAATAAAAAAAAACTTATTTGAAAATCTATTCAACTCAATAAATGATTGATACGCAGGTTATCTTGTTTTATTTCAATGATGATCGATGGCTTGGTGGTCTAGTGGTATGATTCTCGCTTAGGGTGCGAGAGGTCCCGGGTTCAATCCCCGGCCAAGCCCAGTTAATAAAATTTTTTCTTTTTTTTTTTCTTTGTTTTATTGTTATATTCAATCGATTAATTACAACTTTATTCTACTGTTGCAAAAAACAAACATTTTTAAATTTAGAACAGTTTAAAAAACAAAATAAATATATTTAGTTTATTTAAAAAAAAAAAAAAAAGGCACACATAATTATATAGAGAGAAATGAAGAAAATAAACTGACCAGCAGCATAAACTGTTAATAGACATAAATTTTAAAATCATATTTTCCAAAGAATAAGATGTGAAAGAGCATCATCTTTTCCTAATGTTTCATCATTATTATTATAATCTTCAAAACCATCTCCAATAGTAATAACAAATGTTTTAATTGTTGTACCTTCTTCTGTTGTTGAAATAAAATTTTTATCAATTGAAATAATAAATCTAACAGGTCCAGCATGACCATATGATAAACCTTTTAATTGAATAGAATTTGATGTTAATTTATTATTTGTATTTGTTGATAATGAATCAATTAATTGTGGAATTGTTAAATTGAGAATAACACCAGAACTTGTTCCAATCCATAATGTTTCTTTACAAACATAAAGTGTACTTACATATAGACAACCTAATTTATGAGCACGAATTATATCATCACATGCTAAAAACAACAAAATTATTTTTATTTTTATTTTTAAAATTCAAAAATGAATTAACTTTGTAATTTTTGTGTAACTGCCGTTCTTATACTTGTTTCAAGTAAACAAACAAAATGTGTTGCATGATAAAGACGAATTTCATGTGAACCTTGTGATGCAATCCATACATGATGCATTGATGATCCACCTGCTGCTATACTTGATACATGACGATGACAATCATCAACAATAAATGAATGCTTTTATTAAAATAAATTCAATAGTTTTAATTTAATATTAAATAAATATATTTATTTACTTCAACATTTAATGAATTTGGACAAACAACATATATTTTATCTCGTATAGCACACCATAATCTACCAGCTACTAATGTTAATATTGATATACGATCACTATTTTCATCATTATTAAATTCTCCATTTCCATTATCAGATTTTTTAGAATTTTCTTCAATTGATTTAATTATTGGACAATCAAAATCCCAACGATCATCTTAAAATCGACAACAAAAAAAAAACAAATTATTTTTTTTAACAAAAAAAACAAAGAAATACAAATTACTTATATCTCTAGTAAAAATACATAATTGTCCATAATTTAAAGCAAGAAATACTTTATTATCGGTATATCTAATAAAATAAAATAAAATAATATTGTTTTTTTTTTTTTAAATAAAATAAACAAACAAAATTGAATGAATTGAAGAATTTAATTGTTTACATATTCGACTTTTTCGTCCAAATGTTTTTACTGTTTGTGAACATTCATATATAAATAAACTAAACGATATAAAGAATAAATATCAAATCGATTAAAAAACTAAAACAAACCCTCCATCTCGTGTTCCTAACCATATTGTAGCTTGTCTTGTTTCTGAATGTTCATTATTTAAATTAGTTTCAGATAAATTTGATGATGATTCATTTAATGATAAATTCTCCTCATTATTTATCACATCATCATCATCACTTGAATCGATTTCAAGTAATGAATCAATAGTTCTTGCTTTGCTATAAGTATTTAATTGTTCTTGAAAAACTGAATTACGTTTATCGTGACCACGATGATGATGATGATGATGATGATGACCATGATCATCCTCTTGTTTAGTTATATTTACTGATGATCGACGAGTTTTATTTGATGGAATATACCCAATACAATTTATTCCTGATAATGGAATTTTATTCGAACTTTTTAATGTTGCATTAGATTCAATATTAATTAAATATATATCACCATCAGTATAACATAAAAATAAATCATCTGAATAAGAACGAGCAACACCACATGAAAACTAAATAATAAAAGATTTTTTTTATTTATCTAATAAATAAAATAAAACGAACTTGACTTCCTGGTCGAGTATATGGAAGAGTAAGAACATGTTGAAAAATAACTTTTCTTTTACCAGCAGCAGTTTCAACTGAAAATAAAATAAATTAAAAAAAAACAAAAAATGATTTAATTAAATAGAAAACATACAAAGAATTCTTTTCGCTTCAAGAAAACTTTTTTCCCATATTATTTTATCTTCTGATGATGCAAATATAACATCAATTGTTTCTGTACGTTCTCTATAGAAAATAAATAAATATTAATTAAAATAAAAAAAAGTCTTTATTTATAAATACGTTGTATGTATAATTAATTGAATATTATTTGATTTTTGTTGTATATTATCAGATAGAATAAATGGATCTGGAGTTGTACTTCGAATATTTGTTGTAGATATTGTTTCATCAATTAATTGTTTATTTATATTATTAAGAGTTTCTTTTAGTAAATCATCTAATTGCTATTTAAATAATAATTTAAGAAATTTTATTTAAGAAAATAAATTAAAATAATAATAATAATAATAACCTGATGAGGTACAGTCATTGTTTTAGCTAAATTCGTCATTTGTCCAAGAATAATAACATCTTCTTCAAGATTTCGATGTTTTTCTGAAGTTGTACTTGATATTGAATTTGATTTTAATAATGATGGAGGAGTTGACACAGACGATTTTCGTTTTTTTAAATGATCTTTTTTTTCAAATAAAAAAACAAATATTTTTTTTTTTCAACATTGAACTAATATTGATTAATCTTGAAAAAAAAAAATTCTTAATTTTTTTTTTCATGAAAAGAAAATAGTTTAAAAAGTAATAAATTCTCATAGATATTCTTCTTCAACTTTTTTCCAAGACTTTATTAATAACACATTAAATTAATATAAATATACCAAAAAAAACAAGTACTTCTTCGTTGAAAAAAATCAAGTTAATTTATACTGTTCTTTTAATTTATTTTTTTGTATAGAAAATATCAACAATTCATCTTACATTTATTTAATAAAAATCTTATATATAAATAGATCTGAATATGAAGTATCACTTATGAAAAATAAGTAAAAAAAAAAAACTAACTTTCTCTATTTGCTGTTCTATTAAATCTTTCTCTAGTATTATATGAACTATTGACGAACATTTGAGAGTTTTATAAATAACTAGAAATATTTTTCTTCATGCTTTATTAACAGTACAATATGATTATGTCTATTTAAGAAAATCTAATACCAGAACTCTTTTCTTTTTTGGTTTAACTTTAAATTAAACATTTTGATCTTTTAAAAAGATAATTAGATCTTTAACAAATAATTAGAATACATTAATCCATATAGTTATCTTAAATGAATTGAAAAACAAGAGACAAGAGAAAGATAATTTATAGGATAAACACTCAGATTAGAACAAAATTTGAAAAATGACTTAAAAGTTGGTTTTAAACGATTTCTTCAATATACGTCGGACAGAAAAAAAATATAAATGTAGACGTATAAATGAATATGTTCTATACATGTAATTCAGTCGCATTACCAATTAATGTACATAATTAAACAACTAAGATCTATCCTGATAAAATATATCTTCTATGAGCTATATATCAAATAAATGAAATCAAAAATTAGTTTCAATAATAAATATATCATCGATTTCTTATTTAAAACATTAAAAAAAAGAATCGATTGAATTAAAAATCGAATTTAATTTAATAAAACTAACCTGCAGCAAGATCAACACTTTCAAGTGAAATTTTCATTATTAATTTATGTTTTGCATTATCAATATATTGTTTTCCAGATGGAGAATTTCTTAATAAATAATATAAATTCTATAAAAATAAATAAATAAAATTTAAACATACACAATAACTGAATTAGTTGTTTTTTTAGTTAAAGTTCCACTTCTTCGTTTACAAATTGTTATTATAATAAGATCATTAAATAAAAAAATACATCGATCTTTTTTTAATCCTAATGGTGATTGAAGTGTAACAACATCATGACGAATATAATAACGATCAGCATTAACTAACTAAAAACAAAAACATAATAATAATGAAAATAGTATTTCTAGTTTTTCTAAATAAGAAAAATTCGTACATCAGTTAAATTTTCAATCATATCTTGAACAACTTCTAATGAATTATTAGTAACAGTTAAGTCAGTTGAACCAACTTCTTTTTGTACTTGATCAATTTTTTCAGCTAATGAATGAATTTCTGATTGTGCTTTAAGCAATAATTGATAATCAGGATGATTTGAATTTGTACATTTAAGAAAATCTTTTATATATAATTCATATCTTGGAATTCGTTGCACCGGTTGAATTATTAAATCTCTCAATGTTAATTTACCATGATGATCACGTGCTTGTTGTTCAAGAAATTTATTAAATGATGAAAAATCTCGACATAAACGAATTGCTATTTGAGCCGTTTTATAATTATTAACAAAACTTGTATAAGTTTCAATAACTGA